TGGCATCTATAGATGGGTAAAGTCCGCTAGCCATCGAAGTCCTGCTGATTTCTGCAGGGTGCCCCTAGAGATGTAGTATCCAGTCAACCTAAAATGGGTACCAGGTAAAGTCATTGGAAGTAAAGGCGGTAGGCCTGATGTTAACCACCTCATCTATCAAGTACCAGTCGTCTGAAAAAAAGACTAGCAGTATCTTCTTCTTTTCTCTTCTGCTGAAGTGCCTGGCAGTGTCAGGGCAGGAAGACATGTCTGGAACGGGTCCTTCTGTTTGCTTTGTAAAAAGTACTTTTCAGTATCGTTGAAATTTCTGCGGTCCATGTTCTGCGTGGTCGACCTCTGGCTCTGTTACCGTTGTATCTGTATAACATTGCTCTCTGTGTTGCCCTGTCTGATGCCAGTCTTGTTATGTGGCCAGACCTTTTAATTTGTTGCCTACCTATAAATTTCAGTAAGAGCTCTTTGCCGACTCTCCTCCTGATATCGTCATCCCTGAGTCGATCTGTCCTCGTTACACCTAGCATATTACGTAAACATTTTCTGCCGTGGCTGTTTTTCTTCTGTCTTCTGAAGACAGTGTCCATGTTTGACATTTATAGCATAACCTTGGTAAGAATATTGTGTTAAACAGCATTTTTTGTTTTTAGTGTTTATATTTGCAAACTTGCATTTCAAAATTGGTGCCATTTGGCTTATACCTTGACTAGCTTTACTGCATCACTTGTGACGAATTTAGTCCTGTACATTACTTTAATAGTTTTCCGACCTGAGCAAAACCACACAAGTTATTAAAAAAAAACTCTGCCCTGGCACTTTTGAATCCTAAAGACTTTTGAACCAGCAAGCAAGAGTTTAGACGATTGTACAAATTAATTACAATAAATTAGATAGACCACCATTTATCGCCCATATCAGTCGCCTTGGCTTTTGATGTTGATAGTTCATTGTACCTGATTTCTTTAAAAATCTGTTCATTGTGCTATTGCGGTCTTTTTAAGGAGAACTGATAATTTTAATCTCGTTTTGTTTTGTTCCTCATGTACCGGATAGGGAAAGTCCAGTTCTTTCGCCTTTTTTTAGTACCAATAAGCTTAAGATCGTTTTCTTCGTTATGGTGTTTTTAGTGTTATCTATCTCATTGGAAGTAAAGGCGGTCGGCATGATGTTGATCTCATCACCCACCGAGTGCTGACTAATCTGGAAATTTATGTCAAGTACTGTATGCTTATCATGCCTCAAAAGGCATGGCATGGAAAAGAGTCCTTTTCATGTTGTCTGTCACAGACGATCATCTATTCAGCTTCTGCATTGCAAAAGCAAGTCTTTTTTCTAACTTGTTTGTGCAGTTGCTGTTGTTATTAATTTTAAAAAAAAAGTGAGTTGCATATCTTTTACAGGACGTTGCAGGACTTATCCTAGCCTTTTTTGGTTGTTGTGGTTTTTTCTTGACAAATTTTTACATTCAGTAGTTTGCCGTTGCTTACTGAACAGTCAGCTCTCAGTACCACAGTTGAGAGCAAGGCAAGACATATTGTCCGCAGCCGGGATCAAACCCGGCACCCCGGTAATACTAAGTGCGTTCGCAATGCCTACGCCACAGATGCTGACTGTTTTTCATTATTAAGCCTAAATATAAAAAAAAACTGACATTTTCAATCTTTTTTTTTTTTTGCATCTAAATTAATAGTTTGAATTATCCTACTGATTAGTGTAAATTATCAGTTTTGTCTCATAGTGTACATGTTTAACATATTTAGACCTAAGTATTTTTTCCCCTCTTGGAAGCTCAGATCCTAGGAATAGAAGAGGTCTTGATAATAATTACTCTGAATTTTCCCCATGTGGGTTCCGAGATCCCATTGTGGGAGGAAACAAGAATAGACCCACTGCCTACTCAAAAGCTTGTTGTGAGAATCGAATAAAAGGGAGTTTCCTTCAAAGTTGGAGTGTTTCTGCTTGAAAAGAAACCAACAGGCATACAACAGTCTGCATACCCCAAACACGAAATTCCCGTGGGAAATCCATAGCTGACCTGACAGTCCATTATTTCAAGGGGTGGAAGTGTGCTGTTGTGTGGTGCTTTTTTTAAATTGTTTATCTAGTGTCTTCTAATCCTAACCCTAAACTTGGCTGTAGAGAAATCGCGAGAAACTACAACCTGAACACCTTAGAATTCATTGGGAATGTCTCCCGTGACGTTGTCGTGACGTCAGGGGTAAGATATAAATTAAGTACCAAATTTGCCAGTTTGTCAAATGGATATGCATGCAACACTCAGGTTCTGGACCAGGGCTAGAGTCCAGAAGTGGATGAACAACTAGAACTTCCAGCTAGTGTTTAAAGCTGGTGAACATGAAGAAAAAGATTACTTTGAACTGGAAAAGTTAAAGCCGGCGAAAATAATTTGATTCTGCCCTACCAAGGAAATAAAAAAAAATGTTTGACTTAATACATCAGGCTTATGTTTTCAGCTGATGGCCTGTAAATGATGTTGAGTCATTTGGAGACAGGCATACTCAGTGCAGACGGGCAGATAGATGTCCTGTGTGGTTATCGTCCTTTGGATATTATCTCCAGACATGAAGGTGTCTTGGGAAATGAACAGGTGAACAGATTGGATGGTTCTGCACCACTAGGTGATGAATTCATGGATGACAAGCTAGATGTGATCAAGGTCTTTTGTTAGCAATTATCCTCGTTTGGGATACCATGTGTAAAGACCATGTGTTTCAGTGCAGTATGATCCATCTTTTGGCCTGCTTTGTTTACTCCAGAGGAAAGGTAGCACCAATTAGTTTAAAACAGAGCATGCTGCAGACCAGTATAGCAGAGAGCCTGTAAAGACCATGTGTTTCAGTGCAGTATGATCCATCATTTGGTCTGCTTTGTTTACTCCAGAGGAAAGGTATCACCGATAAGTTTAAAATAGAGCATGCTGCAGACCAGCTTGGCAGAGAGCCTGTAAAGACCATGGGTTTCCAATGCAGCGTGATCCCTCTTTTGGTCTGCTTTGTTTACTCCAGAGGAAAGGTAGCACCAATTAGTTTAAAACAGAGCATGCTGCAGACCAGTATAGCAGAGAGCTTGTAAAGACCATGTGTTTCAGTGCAGTATGATCCATCATTTGGTCTGCTTTGTTTACTCCAGAGGAAAGGTAGCACCAATAAGTTTAAAATAGAGCATGCTGCAGACCAGCATAGCAGAGAGCCTGTAAAGACCATGCGTTTCATTGCAGTATGATCCATCTTTTGGTCTGCTTTGTTTACTCCAGAGGAAAGGTAGCACCAATAAGTTTAAAATAGAGCATGCTGCATAGCAGAGAGCCTGTAAAGACCATGTGTTTCCAGTGCAGCATGATCCCTCTTTTGCCCTGCTTTGTTTAATCTAGGGGAAAGATAACACCAATAAATTATATCAAGGTCCAGTAAATGTTGCACTCTGATTTGGGTAAAGTGTGATATTGTGTGAAGAGACAGTGGTATGAGAGTAATTCTGTAGTGCCACGAGAAAGTTGACACGTGGGTTACTGTGTGGGGGCTGAAAGCATGGCTAACGAGATAAACAGAGAAAGTGTGAATTAAGTGACAGCGTGATTCTTTTTTTTTTTTAACGTATCCAGAAACCATGAGTTGTAAACCCTTTGGCTCGGTACTATGCATATCGCAACCCTTCGGCCTTGATTCCATTATAGGTACCGTTAATCTGGGAGAAATGTGGCTTTTCTGCCTACCCCCGGGAGTGAACCCGGACCACAAGGAGTTCGTCACCCGGCCGCCGCGAAAGTCAGGTTTAACCAACTTCGCTAGAGAGCCGGGCATGCGTGATTCTCAGGTAACATCAGCCACACACATAATCGTGAGTCTCGAGAACACCCACAGGAACATGATTCACGAGAACGCCCATACGTGCGTGCCTTTCGTGAAAACATCCACCTACACAGATTTGAGGGGGATAAATTGGAGGGCTGAGTAGTCAGTCAGAGGCAGTCGAGAGAAGAGAGAGAGAAACCGAGAGTCAGAGACCAAGTCAGGGTCCGTGATATCTTTCTCGAGTTTAACAGACAAAAATACCGTACGAATATCAGGCATTTAGGTCTGAGTAAGTGTTAAGGTTGCGGTACTGGTCGAAGGTATGGTCCCGCTGGCGAAGTAAGTCCATGGGGACGGAAGGCTCCAGTAGTACCTGTTCTGGGTGGCAACGTAGTGAGACGTAGGAGGACCACTGGTGAACCAGAACAGGGGGAGGGGGTGGGGGGGGGGGAGTGGTGCCGACGAGAGCTGTGTGCTAGAGGGGACTTATGGTAGAAGTCCTGTCGGTCATCGGAGCCCTTCGACAAGCTGACGACAGCTGTGTTTTTCGGAATACGGCAAGGGAAGTCCGTCTCCAGTCAGCCGTGTTATATGCTGAAATAATATCAAGGTCCAGTGAATGGGAGAATTCGTCCTGTTCAGCTGTACGGCGCGTCCAGAGTGTGGGACGCTGTAGTCCTTGGAGCTGTAGTGGTCAAGGAGAGGTCGCTACAAATTGAGGGAGAGAGCGAGTGAGAGCAAATGGATTATGTGCGAATGTCAACTGTGATCAATAACTACGTCTCTGCATTTGTGTCATGTATCCTGTGAATAAAATGTATGACGGTGTCATCGTCGTTGAGTTCTTTTTCTAAGAGAGGAAGCGGAAGGGTACCTGCTAGACACCTGGTAGTGTGCTGTCTAGTGGTAACTCATTTAGCACACAACAACCATGTGTTTCCAATGCAGCACGATGCCTCTTTTGCCCTGCTTTGTTTAATCTAGAGGAAAGATAACGCCAATAAATTCAAACCACAGCATGCTGCAAATTGCAAAAGCTGCTGGACTAGATGACCAGTGCTATGTCTCCAAAACTTTTTTATGAATGGTAATAATAAGAAAAGAAAAATGACAAATTCTGTGTTGTGATAATATGTAAACATGTGGTGTTGATTGTAATGTGTTTTTAATTGTGACTTTTCTCTCTTTCCACAGAGGACAGCAGAATGGAGGTAAGACATGTTTTGTCATTACTGCTACTGCTGATTGGCCTCCTGCTACAGTACTACTGCTGCTTATCATTTTGTCCTTCCTGTTACTACTACTAAAACTGTCACTACCACTGACACTACCACTCCTGCTACAACAGCTGCTAATCTTCCCCCGCTTCTTCCTCTTCAGCTTCTTCCTCCTCTTCCTCTTTAGTTTCTTATTCTTCTTCAGCCTCCTCTTCTTCCTTTTCCTCTTCCTACTTCTTCCTCTTTTTTTTCAGTTTCTTCTTTTTCTTCAACTTTTTTTTCTTCATCTTCAGCTGCTTCTTCTTCTTCAGCTCCCCCTCCTCCTCCATCTTCTTCTTCTTCTTTTCCAACTCCTCCCCACTCCTCCTCCTCCCTATTTGCAGATGACTGTACAGTCTATACAAGTGCTCAAACATGTGATATTCTAGTAATCTTTACAACAAGAATTAAACAATGTTGTTTCCTTGAGCTGTGCAAATCGCATGCAAATATACATTAGTAAAACAAAATGCATATTAATATCAACAAGACAAAAAGTAAATTCTTTAACTGCACATAATTCTCTTCAACTCTACATCAGTAACAACCCAGTAGAATGTGTAACTGAGCCAAAGCTTTAGGAATAATTATTGATATAACTTTAACCTTCACTTCTCACGTGCAAGCTCTAGGGAAATAAACTCCTTGCAAAAATTAAACACGTTTTGGATGAAAACACCATATCCAGACCCATCTAGACTACTGCTCCACAGTATGGGATGGCTGTCCAAGTTTAATCATGAAACTGCTTAAAGCACTTTAAAAAAGAGTGTACCCTTAGTTGGTAATAATCATTGAACAGACAGTTCCAGTATACATAAAGATCTTAAGTTACTACCGTCCATAAACTTTTCAAAAAGTCCAAAATTATTCACAAAATCTCATTTAAAAAAATGCTCCAGGTTACCTTTTGCCATTCTTTAAGTATAATGGGCGACATAGCAAACGCCGAAACATATTACATATCCCTAAACCTAGAATAGACTTGTACAAAACAAGCTTGGCGTACTCTGCAGCTCATCCGTGGAGCCAACTTCCACAAGCAATCAAAAATATCAACAACCCCTATAAATACAACTGGAAACTATGAATATTATCTCACTAGTCTATATGCCCCCTTAGAAGAGAATAGTTTCCTAAGAATAATGTTGATTTCCACCAATATTTATTATATTTAGTATTATAATTGTTTTAAAATGTAGGCATACTTAGAGCAAATTAATACTGAGATGGTGTGATGATGTCTATTATTATTATTATTATCTGCTAAAACAATATGTGTGTGCGTGAATAATGTATGATGGAGTGAGGCCAGAAGGGCAGAATGTAAGACGGGCCTGTGTGCCAAATTCTTAATCTTTAAAAGTAAAGTTTATTCGTTCGTTCGTTCTCCTTCTTCTTTCTGCCTAGTCTGGTTTCATTCCACAAGAGTTACAGAAAAAAAGAGACTAATGCGGCTCTGGGGTTGACCCAGCCTCGTTAATGTCACACGCTGTGCAAGTTCTGATGTTTAATTTTGCCCGCGACAGAGACAGAGAAAACTCAACACCTTATAAGGGGTCAAACCTGGGTCTCCTGCATGAGTTTCCGGTGTTGTAACCGCTCAGCCAACCTGTCTTCAGTGGGACAAGTTAGTTGCGCCTTCTTTACAGGATATTGCAGAGCCAAACCCAGGATGTTTTGATTTTTCCCCCTAGGCAAATTTATGTTCAGTAGTTTGCCATTGCTTACTGGACGGTCAACTCTGAATACCACTGTTGAAACCAATGCAAGATTTTCTGCTGCCAAATTACTTGCAGCTGGAATCGAACCCGGCGCTACAGAGCGCATTGCAGCCTAAGCTACAGACGCCGACCTTTTTTTTTGGTTAAATTTATTTGCCAGGGTTGGATGTCTGCACCATTGCAGGTCCCAAGCCCGGATGAGAAAGGAGGGGGTTGGGCGCGATCCGGCTACGCCATCTGGTAAAAACAACTGTGCCACAGAAACTTACATATTATAGGAAGACAGTGATATAATATCGGGGCATTATGAGGAGAAGCAGGCAGAAAATCACCACAAAACGGTGACTGAAATGTGAAACAAATTGATCCAGGAAACGAGAACCCTCATGAAAAGCCATTGTTAAAAGAAGCCAAAGCTGCTGGACCGAATTCCAAGTACTGTAAAAAAAACAATAAAACAAGTGTGCTACAGAAACTCGCATATCAGGAGAAAGACCGCGTTATGATATCGGCCGCATTTTGTGGAGAAGCAGACAGAGAACCCCCCGCGGACGCCATACCTAAAGAACACTTAAACTCCCATTTTTCAAATGTGTGGACACTCAAGGGGCAACTTGTACTTAGCTGGTGTGTTGCTATTTTTTGCCCCATATAGGCTCGGTGGCTGTAGGCACTGGCATTGAAAACTGAACTTAGAGCAAACTTTGAAAGCATAGCTAAGTCAATATTTTACAACTAGGCGTCTGGGACCAGGGCTGCCAGTGGGATTTTTGTGTGAAAAACCCAGCTAAGTTGAACAAAAACCCAAGCAAAACATAGGCAAAAAAAATTGTATAGTTATGAAACGAAACATTTACCCATTTTTATTTAAAGATATATTAAAAACCCTGATTTGCAAATAAAAACCCAGATCTGGGGGTAACAATCCATCATTGGCAGTCCTGTGAGGCGGTGATCTAGTTCTTGTGTCGTTCAAAGCATCACTAGGGGACTTTAGTTGAGCCTTTTTCACCAGGGCTGCCAATGATGGGTTTTTATTCGACACCTTGGGTTCAGATTTTGGAATCTTTTTTTTTTTTTTTACAAAATATATCCTTATATAAAATCAATAGACTTTATCCACACCAGAGTTGGATTCGAGTGTATACAGATGGTTCAGCCAAGAGAGCAGTAAGAGACAGAGGAAGAGGAATATACATAGAATGCCCAAATGGTTTAAAAATCAACCAGGCTGTACCAAAAGGTTAATATTCCTCCAATTACAGAGCAGAGGCAGAAGCAATTCTGGCCGCATGTTTTTTCCTGAATGGACAACAGAACAGCAAATATAGCAGAGTGGTCTTTCTGACTGATGCTATGTCAGTTCTACAGGCAATTGTTAACAAAAAAGACACTCAGTTGTAGACTTGAGGCAACAGCTGATTTACTTGGGCTCTTCAGTAGAACAATCTGTACTGCAGTGGATTCCAGGTCACTGTGGCTTGGAATGCAATGAAATAGCGGACAGATTGGCCAAAAGCGGCAGTGACATGGTACAACCTAATAGCGACTTAACCCGCCAAGAGATGAAAACATTAATACAATCTAGTATCCAAGAAAGGTGGCTGGATACCCACAAAAGATTTTCTCCCCAAGACTCACTTCATCGCCTCTCTAGAGAGGGACAGTGTATCATATTCAGACTAAGGACTGGGCACAACAGATTTCGTCAACATATGTTCAAATTTTTCGGTGTAGGAAATACGGAGACGTGTCCCTGCAGCGTGGCACCCGAAAATGCTGAGCATGTGCTCCAACACTGTCAATTGCATGCTGACAACAGAGACGCAATCTGGCCTGTTCCAACCACACTGAAGACAAAACTGTATGGTACACGAGAAGATATGGATTGCACGATAACTTTCATAAAGGCTACCGGCCTCCTGATATAAGTTTTCTGACAGAAGGCTCGAAGAAGAAGAATATCAACAAAAACACAAAAGCATAGCCGGTAAACAAACACCCTCATACACACGTCCGCTCACTGACTTACATAGATGCCTACACACATACATACATGCATGCATGCATACATACGCAAACACACATACACCTACAAACACACATACACTCATACATACAAACATACATACAGGCATCCGTGCATACAGAAACACACATGCACACACAGACACGCTCAAGAAGGAGTAGAGTCCCTTTACTGGACGAATCAAACCAACCAACCGCCGCGTCTGTTGGTATGTTTTTTTTTTCTAGACAATTTTACTGTCATTAGTTTGTCGCTGACCGCCGACGCCCATACCGTTAGGGAATCAACACAGAGCGCTTCTGCTGCTGCCATATTGCCTGATGCTCCATGACTGTATTACTACGTTCATAACTGCCTTTAGTGATGTAGTTTCTGATAACGGAGACGGGTTGTGTGAGAACTGTGACCGCGCCTGCGTGTGGCGGGTCACTCTTTTGGTTTCCACAAATAAAAGTTAGTGAGAGAGAGAGAGAGAATTTAGCAAACTCCGCCCTCTCGATGAAGAATGTTAGTGTGTTTGTAGAGGAAAGGGGGTGAGGGTGAAGGGATGTTGTAGTCGATTCAATGACTGGGAGGGGGGGGGGGGGGATGTAACGGTTTGGGGTCGGTTGCTTCATTTCTATCAGTGAAGACTATTAGTGTATGGGAGACAAAGAAAAAAGAGTGAAAGAGTTAGAGGGGTTGGGAGGGGTAGTTGTAGACAAGGAACGAACGAACAAATGAGCTTTCTTACAAATTGGGCACGCAGGCCCGTCTTACATTCGACCCTTCCGAGCACCCATCTTTCTTTTTCTATTTTATCAGTGGAGCATGTTTTGTTTGTATAGTTTAAAGGTTTCACCAAATCAACATCATTGCACAAGTTTAGTAACCCATAAGTGCCCTATTCTACTTTTAGCTCAAGTTTGAAGAATCTCATTGCAGTGCACGAACTCCGTAGCCCCGGCGAGGATCCTGAACTACTTTTGATATATTTCAACTCCAAATTTTGCGCAAAAGTACACACGGGCGTCCGATATCGCTACCCACAGACTAGGGACAATTACTAAAGTCCACGAGAAAAAAATCCCAGCATGTTCATATAATAATATGCAAATTATGAATATCAAGAAAAAACATCAAAGCATGTGTAGTTAATTGGATACACACACACCTATATGCACGCACCCACTCACTCACTTACACACACATACATACACACCCAAATACATCACACACCTACCTGCATACAAACAAAATAATACATACACACACATTTACATGCATACAAACGTATGTAAAGACACAAGCACACCGAGATACACCCATAGACACAAACGCACACAGACATCCACAGACACACATGCACAGACACTCACACAATGACACACATTAACACGCGTGGACACACACAGAGACAAACACACACTCACAGACACACACATACATACAGACAGACACAGACAGATATAGTAGATAGAGAGAGAGATATAGTAGATAGATAGATATATATATTTATAGATAGATAAGTAGATAGAGATATAGATAAGTAGATATATATATATATATATATATATATATATATATATATATATATATATATATATATATATATATATATATATATATATATATATATATATATATATATATATATATATGGATGGATGGATAGAGAGGAAAAGAATTCAACCAACTGTAAAAAACGACTGTCAATCTATGTGGGTATTTCTGATGTATACTGTATGGAAAACAAATAGAAGGCCATCAGATGCCCATGGGCACTATTGGTATTTAAAGTAACTAACTCTTTGTTGGTAAGGAACAGGCTAGTGCCTAGAAATGCCCCGAATGTAGTGAGGCCCCTTCTTGGTTCATTCATTCACTGAATAATAAAAGACATACAATAAAAAAGTAGTTATTGTGTAAACTGGTTAATTTGTATGCTGCATTTTGTGTGTGTCCAGGGCAACTCCATTGGTCAGTCTATGCGGGACAAGGACAGAAAGATTGGACACAGACGAGTGGACAAATCTGGCATTGTGTCATACAAGAAGGTGAGACTACTTGTCTGTGTGTATATGTGGCTATTTATGCATCTTTCTCTCGCTCTTTCTCCCTCTCTCTGTTTGTGTGTGTGTGTTTTTCTGTGTGTTAGACTACATGTCTCATTGTATATCTTTCTGTGTTTCCATGTTTGCCCATATGCCTGTCCATGCATCTGCCAATGTTGCTTCTGTGTGCCTGTCGATGTATTCCGCCCGACCGCTAGTATTCAGTCGAATACCGAATAGTTATTAGGTTCACTATTAGGCCCCGAAGCGAATATTCGGTACAGTATATGTATGTATATATATATATATATATATATATATATATATATATATATATATATATATATATATATATATATATATAGAGAGAGAGAGAGAGAGAGAGGGAGAGAGAGAGGGAGTGATGGGCAACAATTTGCTACTGCAATCATACTACTGTGAGTAGTAGAAACTGCCCATGTAATGTATTGATTGCCCGGAATGAAAAGACCGGCCCAGAACTATATGATGAATGGATACAGAGTGGCTTGACTATAACTTTATGGTTGAGGGAGACATAAGGACCTTCCCACAACTGTATGTTAGAGAAAGACATAGGGGGCTGCCCACAGCTGTATGTTAGAGAAAGACATAGGGACCTGCCCACAGCTGTATGTTAAAGAAAGACATAAGGACCTGCCCACAACTGTATGTTAGAGAAAGACATAGGGACCTGCCCACAGCTGTATGTTAAAGAAAGACATAGCGACCTGCCCACAGCTGTATGTTAGAGAAAGACATAGCGACCTGCCCACAGCTGTATGTTAGAGAAAGACATAGGGACCTGCCCACAGCTGTATGTTAAAGAAAGACATAGGGGGCTGCCCACAACTGTATGTTAAAGAAAGACATAGGGGGCTGCTCACAACTGTATGTTAAAGAAAGACATAGGGAGCTGCCCACAGCTGTATGTTAGAGAAAGACATAGGGACCTGCCCACAGCTGTATGTTAGAGAAAGACATAGGGGGCTGCCCACAACTGTATGTTAAAGAAAGACATGGGGGGCTGCCCACAACTGTATGTTAAAGAAAGACATAGGGGGCTGCCCACAACTGTATGTTAGAGAAAGACATAGGGGGCTGCCCACAACTGTATGTTAGAGAAAGACATAGGGGGCTGCCCACAGCTGTATGTTAGAGAAAGACATAGGGACCTGCCCACAACTGTATGTTAAAGAAAGACATAGGGGGGTGCCCACAGCTGTATGTTAAAGAAAGACATAGGGACCTGCCCACAGCTGTATGTTAAAGAAAGACATAGGGGGCTGCCCACAACTGTATGTTAGAGAAAGACATAGGGACCTGCCCACAGCTGTATGTTAAAGAAAGACATAGGGACCTGCCCACAGCTGTATGTTAGAGAAAGACAGGGACCTGCCCACAGCTGTATGTTAGAGAAAGACATAGGGACCTGCCCACAGCTGTATGTTAAAGAAAGACATAGGGGGCTGCCCACAACTGTATGTTGAAGAAAGACATAGGGGGCTGCCCACAATTGTATGTTGAAGAAAGACATAGGGGGCTGCCCACAACTGTATGTTGAAGAAAGACATAGGGGGCTGCCCACAACTGTATGTTGAAGAAAGACATAGGGGGCTGCCCACAATTGTATGTTGAAGAAAGACATAAGGGGCTGCCCACAACTGTATGTTGAAGAAAGACATAGGGGGCTGCCCACAATTGTATGTTAAAGAAAGACATAGGGGGCTGCCCACAACTGTATGTTGAAGAAAGACATAGGGGGCTGCCCACAATTGTATGTTGAAGAAAGACATAGGGGGCTGCCCACAACTGTATGTTAAAGAAAGACATAGGGGGCTGCCCACAACTGTATGTTGAAGAAAGACATAGGGGGCTGCCCACAACTGTATGTTGAACAAAGACATAGGGGGCTGCCCACAACTGTATGTTGAAGAAAGACATAGAGGGCTGCCCACAATTGTATGTTAAAGAAAGACATAGGGGGCTGCCCACAACTGTATGTTGAAGAAAGACATAGGGGGCTTCCCACAATTGTATGTTGAAGAAAGACATAGGGGCTGCCCACAATTGTAGTGCTCAGGGGTAAGCCAAGTTCAGTGCTGTGTGGATCTCTAATTAAATCTCTAACTGCAAGTGGATCTCCACTGTGGTCTCCATTGGTTCCCTCCCGCCAGTTTAGTGCACCATGGTTACACAGTTCTGTCCTTATTGGTTCTCTCCTGCCAGTTTAGTGCACCGTGGTTACACAGTTTTGTCCTTATTGGTTCTCTCCTGCCAGTTTAGTGCACCAGAAACACAGTTTTGTCTTATGGTTCTGCCCTGCAGTTTAGTGCACCATGGTTACACAGTTTTGTCCTTATTGGTTCTCTCCTGCCAGTTTAGTGCACCATGGTTACACAGTTCTATCCTTATTGGTTCCCTCCCGTCAGTTTAGTGCACCATGGTTACACAGTTCTGTTTTTATTGGTTCCCTCCCGTCAGTTTAGTGCACCATGGTTACACAGTTCTGTCCTTATTGGTTCCCTCCCGTCAGTTTAGTGCACCATGGTTACACAGTTCTGTCCTTATTGGTTCCCTCCCGTCAGTTTAGTGCACCATGGTTACACAGTTCTGTCTTTATTTGTTCCCTTCCGCCAGTTTAGTCACCATGATTAAACAATTGTGTCCTTATTGGTTCTCTTTCGCTAGTTTAATGCACTATGGTTACAGTTTTATCCTTATTGGTTTCCTACCGCCAGTTTAGTGCACCATGGTTACACAGTTCTGTCCCTATTGGTTCCCTCCTGCCAGTTTAGTGCACCATGGTTACACAGTTCTATCCTTATTGGTTCCCTCCCGCCAGTTTAGTGCACCATGGTTACACAGTTCTATCCTTATTGGTTCCCTTCCGCCAGTTTAGTGCACCATGGTTACACAGTTCTGTCCCTATTGGTTCCCTCCTGCCAGTTTAGTGCACCATGGTTACAGTTCTGTCTTTATTGGTTCTCTCCCGCCAGTTTAGTGCACCGTGGTTACACAGTTCTGTCCTTACTGGGTACCTCCCGCCAGTTTAGTGCATCGTGGTTACACAGTTTTATCCTTATTGGGTCCCTCCCGCCAGTTTAGTCACCATGATTAAACAGTTTTATCCTTATTGGGTTCCCTCCCGCCAGTTTAGTGCACCATGGTTACACAGTTTTATCCTTATTGGTTTCCTACCGCCAGTTTAGTGCACCATGGTTACACAGTTTTATCCTTATTGGGTCCCTCCCGCCAGTTTGAGTGCCTCATGCACCGCCAAAACGAGCGCTTATTGCCTCTCAAATTGAACTCCCTGTACTGCTAAAAGTGAACGGCTCCACGCTCAGACAAATTGAGAGCTCTGTTCTCCTCCAAATCGATTGTCCCATGCTGCCACAAATTGAGTGCTATATGCTTTACCTATTCAAGAGCTTCACGCGTCCCTAGATCAAATGCTCCGCGCCCCTCCTCCGAAACGAGTGCTCCTTGCCCCCCCCCTTCCCTCTTAAATTGAATAATGCATGCTTCCCCAAATGGATTGCCTCATACTCCCCTAATGATCCCCAAAATCGAGTTCTCCGTGCTACTAAAAATATAGCTCTGCATGATTAGCGACTATGGTGCTGACTGGCTCGTTACTGTGTTTTGAAAGGGTATTTATATACTAGCCAGCCGTACTGACCTTATGGTTTTCCTGAGACCTCCCTGAGTCTAACAGTTTAGAACCCTTCGCTGAACAGGCGGATTCAGTGATATTTCTGACGAAAGGTCACACCTGCCAGAAACTACAAAAATCACTCACTACTGGGATACATCTTTGGTGGCATGCAATCTTGTCAGTACTGTTCTTGGTGGGGGCATACTGCTGGTAGAAAGTTTTGCTGTTGTTATGTTTAGCCCGGCCCCCTCCCATATTTTCCCCAAGCATGGTACCTGTAGGATTTACATTTCACGAATGAGAGTCAGTGACATACACATTCGGGAAACCCCGTTCAATCATATAGCTAAATAACACAATTATTTTATCGAAACAATATTTCCCCGTTGTGAATTTGAACAAACTGAAGATTGCACAATTGTTTTCCTGGCATATTGGCTGTATCTCGTCAGGTTGCATACTACAGTCACAGTTGATTAAAATGAAGCAAATAAATGAATCCTTCAAACTGAAGCGAAAGAAAAATGGAGTTCATTTAAAAACTGTTTGTTTCACCAGGGTAAACGCAAGGTGAAGAGCATGTCCTTTTGTCTGCATAATTCTGGACTAAACCGGTTTATAGCGGTCGCTTCTACAAATCTTAATGATCTACAGTTGTGTAGCTGGGTTTATCCGTGGTAGAAAAGTGTATACTGGGTATGGTTAGAGCTGGAAGCTGCAATCGCTGCGAATTTGAATTCAGTACCTTGGGAGGGTCAGGTGATCGTTTAGCGAATGTCCCCCCCCCCCACCCCACCCTTCCACTTCAACTAATTTGGGCTTCCAGGGATAGGCGCAGGGTGATTTCATGAGACATATATAATGGTTCTCAAATAGTCGACTTCTGAATCTCTGCGTGTGGATTCCGGGGCCCCATTTTGGGGAAAAAATAGAGAATATAAAGATTTCCCTAACACGTATGTCGTAACAGGCGACCTTATAGGAGTCTGCTGAAATCGAATATGTTGAGCCGAAAGGCGCAGATATCGCAGCCTAGATGTAAACCACAAGACAATGTGCCTGTTAGCCTTTTAAAAAGCGAACGCAGAAGGAGAGGGGGCAGGAAAAAGAGAAGGGGGAGGAGAAAAGAGATAGTAAATCCATTGCCGGCTTGCTAGGCCTGTCGCAACTTCACCAGAACCCCGTTGGCCAGAACGTTTCGTGGGGAACTCAGATGGCCTTCAAGGTTACCGTAGCGGTTGCGTGGGACATGGCCACACATACTTCACCCAGTCCTAGCAATCCCCTGCTTTGTCCTATTGCTGCCTCTCACGACGGGGACGTG